GGGGACGGCTCGGAGCCCCGAGAGGCTGTTGCGCCCTGCGAGGTGGCGCTCGCCTTCCGCTCGGCCGCCGCCGCGTGCAACGTGGGCCGCCAGGGCCTGGCCTAGCTCGCCCTTCCCTCGGGTGGCCAACTAGCGCGCCAGGACCCGACTTAACTTTGCAGCCAGCCGCCGGGGCGCCGCCCGTCGGCGCCCATCTTTCCCCCACGCCTACCCCTTTCGACTGTCCCCGTCTCTCCCCCGGGGGCGGGGGTTGCTATCCAGAAAAGTGGGGCGGGGCGACTGGGTGCGGGTGACTTTCTCCCTCCTGACCCTCTTTTGTCTCCTCTCGCGCGTGGTCCCAGGCCGAGGAGGGGACAGCACCATTCGTCAGCTCCAGGCTTCCCCGGGGCTCGGGGCGGGGGCCCCGCGGAGCGGAGTGGGGACCGGCCCGCCCTCCCCCATCGCCCTGCCGCCACTCCGAGCCAGCAACGCCGCCGCCGCAGCGCACACGGTGAGACCCAGCCCACGGACGACCGGCGGGCGTGCCCGGAGGGGATCTGGGGCAAAACACTCGCGGGCTGGTGGGGTTCTGACCCCGGGAGACGAGACGCCGAAGTGCCGAGAAGCTCCACGCCCCTGGCCAGTAGCCTGTCTGCGCCGCCGCCCTCTGTAACTTGGGCGAGCCCAAAGCGGCAGTCACAAAGGAAGATTCGTGCAGTGGGCCCCTCACTTCCCCTCCGAGCCTGCCCCCAGCTGCCCTCCTCTTCCTCGAACTTCCTTCTTGCAGCTCTTCTTTGCTCTTCTTTCTTTTTCCAACTTGCTTCCCAGAGCTTCCTTCTCTGATCGGGTAAACACTCCCCCTCCCCCACTTTGTGGGTAGTGAGTATTTATAGAAACAGATGTCTGCTAGGGGACAGGCGGTCTGTCCAGCCCGGAAAATCGATCACCCGAAGAGCCTCCCAGGTCTGGCTCCAGCCTATGGTCCCCCGCGTGTGTAAGCATGTTTTATGAGTGCTGCAGGTTTGAACACAGCAGAAATTGTAATTAACAGTAACAAAATAAGAGCAGCAGCAGCAGTCAAAACAAAACAAATCACCCGGTAGGATCCTGATGTTGGACAGTCTTCCAAAGGGAAGGGCCAGCGGGTGGGAAAGGAAGGGCACCTGATAGGTGCCTTGGCCCCCTGCTAGGGTGGGGCTGGTGACTGCAGAGGCTGGCAAACTGGAGTTGAGCGTACCTTTTCTCTGCTGCCAGGGGCTGCCCTTGAATGGTGACTGCCAGCTCACAGCAGGTGTGTGCACTTATTTGAAGGAGGTGATGGTTTAAAGGGTGCCCCCCCCCCCCACTCCCCTCAGTGGGATCTTCCTATGGTGGTTGTGCTTGGTTGCCTTAAGGGCTGATTTGCCGAGTGAAACGAGTTCTGGAAGAAAAGACCAGTTTCAGCCCACAAGGGCGAAGCTCTGAGGGTCCTGCGTTAATGTGTTGTACTGGAGGAGAATTTGGGAGGAGGCCCGAGGGGAACTAGGCCTGCAAGTACAAGTGGCATAGGAAAATGTTTTGTTGGTTTCCATTTTTTGGTTGTTATTCCCCTGATGCATGTAGTCCCAGGAGCTAGGAATTCATGACACAGTGGTTAGCTAATCTCTCTTGGATGTTGACAGTTGGGAGTCTTTGGGTCCCATAAGTGGTTCAGCACGTGATGGTTGCCTGTTCTTATCACTGTGATGTGTCTGTGGAGAAAACTGCATTGGTTTTCGGGGGTTAATTATTTTGTTGTTTGTACTCAGATCATCTGCAAATGAAGGCAAGTATCAGAGCCAGCCTTTTCCATGTGGTTCAAGTAATCCCAGCACTTGGTGTGAACTGGGAAAGAAATGTTCGCTTTGCATCTGGGATCTAGTTTGATGAAGTTGGTCTCTGCTTGATCCAAGACTCTGCAGTGAAACTGCCCATTGAATTTCGAGAAAATGGAAGGGCTACAACGGAAGAATAGCCTGTGGTGTTCCCAAACTAAAAAGGTGCCGCTCAGAACCCCTACTGACAGAGGCGTCTAGTTTGTTGGTGGCACCTGCCGGATTTACCTGGTTTGAGTTGAAGGGTGTGCTGTTGTCTTCGATGCTTGATCTGGAGAGTGAAAATTGGGTTGTGATTGCTGTTCAGTATGGATTGATTTCACATCGTAGGTTTCCTAGACCAGGCACGTTCCGGAGTGATCACAGGAGTTCTCAGACCCACCCCTTTCACTTTACATGCCAGGAAACAGGCCCCAGGTGGTCAAGATTCCCTGCTCAGTTCATAGCAAGGTTGGAGCAAACCTTCTTAACATCCGTTTTGACCCTGCTAAGTGTAGGAAAGTATGGTGACTGCATTAGAAATCCCCAAACTTTTGCAGATACGCCTTCCCCTATGCCTGTCCAGTTTCTGTAAATGTTAGGTTTTAATTCGGGAGCAGTGACACTTGGGAAGAACTAGTTTAAAATGAAGGGAAGAGAAATTAAAGAGAAGAAAATGATCTTGTCATCAGAGCGTCCGCGTATTTCCCCTCAGAAATAGGAGGGTAGATACGTCATCAGGGAGAGATGAATTGGGGGATTTTCCCAGTCCCTTATGTTCTCTCCCTCTGGGCATCTTACACTGCCCATTGTGTGTCACTTGTTTGTCCTCAGATGTATGCACTGCGTTCTTCACTCCTATGCGAGTGCTTTTGCTTTTTCTACACAATGTATTGAAGTTATAACTGTGTTTCTGTTGAAAATCCCCAATCCCGGGATGGATCACATTCATACCTTTGAAGGGTAGCACTGTCCAGCTACCAGTTTTGTTTTTATGAAACAATTGGAGGCAAAGAAGAATTCATCTCCCCACTGCACAACTAGTCATGTTTTGAAGACAGAAAGAAATAGGCCTTGCAGACTGCCAGTTTCTTCGAAGAGGAGGCAAAATTCTGGTCTTCTTGCACTCAGGACCAGCCCCATAATGTGAGACAGCATTTCAAAGATAACTTGAGACGTTTGGGAAAGCCCAGAAATGTTAGCACAGTGAAAGATCTGCTTGCTTGCTGTTCCAAGGTGAAACTACCAAACCAGTCACATGATGGTTCCCACCTAATTTGAATACTAACCTATCTTATGGACAGCCAAGGTTTTGTGTAGGTGTCTTTCCCTTAAGGTGCGGGTATGTTAACAACTGCGGGCACTCGCTATCTATTTTTAAATGTGACAGGTGCTGTGTCTAGTCATTGGCCAATAGGATAAGCCACTAACCACGTCGGCTGTCCATATCCTTTCTTAGACATACAGTCTGGAGACATGCCAACTTCTCAGGATGGTTTTCTTTGTGTGTCTCCCCACCCCCCACCCCCACCCCTTTTTTGTTGATGGAATCGTTGGGCTTCTAAGGTTGGTTGTGACTTTAAAGCTCAGAATTGTTGGAGACGAGTCTCCTTAATATCTGGAAAGTTTATTCCAAATTCTATACATTGCTTCTAGGTGTTTCAGTGGAATCTCTGCTGCAAGTGTGTTAATAAGTGATCTTTCGCCCCAAAGTCCCTGCTGATGCACACTGTAAGCCGAAAGTCTTGTGACTCAGATCACCAGGGACATTTCCCAACTCCCTGGGCATTGACTTCATGTTTTCTTATGAAGGAACAAAATGCCCTACTCTCAAGAGTAACTCAAGAGAGACAAGTGTTAACAGGGCTCTGTTGAAATGTATTCTGGCATACAAGGGATATGTATTGAGTGGTTCCTGAAGGCCTGGGCTTTCTAAAAGGGGGACTCAAACAAAGATAAGAGGTAACCCTAAGATGGGTCCATCAGACAGCCAAATGAAGTGAAATATGGGTTATAAAATCACCCTGCCCCCAAACTGTTCATCAAGTCAAGGGAGCTTTCACAGAGGTGGGGAGAGTTGAGCCAAACACTGAAGGATGATCAGAGTTTACCATCCAGGTGTGGGAAACAGAGGAGAACCCGAACAGCACCTGCAAAGAGAGAGCAATAGCCAGTGCTCCCACCGAACCAAGTATCACTCGAAACGCTACACGTATTACCTAACTTAATCTTCCCAATGAGGCCACATTGCTGCCTCCTTTCTCATAGATAATGGCATTCTGGTGCAGAGGGATGAAGGAAATTGTTGCCCAGAGTCACATGTCAGGGATCTAGGATTCAGTCCACCATGGGGTGGGGGGTGGGGGTGGGGGAGGGGCTTCAAAATGTTCATGAGAGTAGATGGAGTTAAAAGATAATGGGATTCTTCCATGAATTCAGTGCAGCGTGTCTAGCTGAAGAACTCTGGGCTCCTTCCTAACTCCTAACTGTAGTCAAAGCTAACTTCCCTAAAAGCAGAGGAATGGAGGAGTACATGGGCCCTTGGGGAACCTAGCTTTCATACTCAGGGAGAAGAGTAACACTGGTAGATGAACTGGAAGGAATCAGGTCATTTTGATGCTTGAAGTTTTGAAGTAAATTCTGGTATATTTGTGGAGATAGGGTGCCATGGTGAGACTTAAGCAAATGGTAGATTTAGAAGGAAGAAGCATTGAGCATAATGAGTTACCCATTGGGCAGCGGTTCGAACCCCCCAGGTGAAACTCAAAGGGGGCAGTTCTGCTCTGTATTACAGAGCTGCTGTGGGTTGGAATCAACTTGATGGCAGTGAGTTTGGTTTTGAGTCAATGAGACTTGGCACCATGGAGACAGTGTTAGCCCAATGGTAGAATTCTCACTTTCCAGCAGGCAGAGGACCTGGGTTTGATTGCTGGCCAGTTCACCTCAATCATCTAAGGAATCTCCAAGGCCCCAGCATAAATTTCGCTCGTAAGGAAGCCTCATGTTTCTTGATGCATGTGCAGGTTTTTCTTCTAAAATATCTCCATCCTTCTTGGAAAACCATAGTGGGTAGGAGGGTGTACAGAGAATGAGAGGCTTGGAAAGAAAAGCTAAGGACAAGTCTCCACTGCTTTCACATATGCTCCGATCTTTCCTAGTTCATTTTTATGAAATGAAGATAAAAAGAGCCTGTCTGGCTGGTTACCCTTCCAAAAAAATAGATCCCCTAACATGGGATAAGGTGAGCTTAATATAAAAGGGTTTGACTTGAAGTCATACCTTGGGCAATAAAATACCTGGGCTTAGGAAATCCCATTGCAGACGAGTTCCAGTACTGTGTTCTACTTTGCGTTTAGAAGTTGGTCTAGGAAAATCTTCCTCGTCAGAAAAGTCAATGTGCATGCCCTGTCTGAGAAAAGTGTGCATCTTGAGCTATTAGTGGACTTGGAAATCCATTTCATGATCCAAATGGGCCCACACCATTCCTGAATATCCCTGTTGTATGTATCGACCCATCAGCATTCACCTACTACGCAGCCAAAAGGAAAGTGTTCGAGACGTCCTGGTGGACAGCAGTCTGCCTTCTAAAGGTCATAGTCGTGGCACAGGGCACTGTGAGTTGGCACTTACTGGTCAGCAGCTGATGGCTTTAACCAGTCTTTCAGTTGTATGTAAAGTCTGGATTTAGAACAAGAAAATGGAAAAAGGACTAAAGGCACAGGATTTCACATAATTGATTGTAATCTCCCAGAAGGCTGACTTTGCCACTTACGTGACTCCTATCTTTCTCAGTGCTAGCAAGTCAGCTTTCGTTTGGACGGAGCAAAACTGCTCTGCAGGGTTTCCAAGACATTAAATCTTGCTCAGAGCAGACAACCTCATCTTCCTCTCACATAGTGGCTGGTTAAGTTTGAACCACCAATCTTGGCCAGCCCAAGACAACCCACTAATACCACCGGCAGTCCTCCGCTATCATTGGCTCAATGGATAAAGTAGACTAGTTGAATGAAGTGAATGACCAATTGATCGTCAATAAGACCTGATAACATTGCCAAGCAGGAGAGACTTGTCTGTCCCTAGCCAAACCCACTGCCAGGGAGTCCTTTCCATCTGAAACTGGCAGGAATTCCTCACTGCTAGGAGATGCCACCAGTTAATCCTCTCTCACCCTCACCGCTTTGCAATTGTAGTACTTGAAGAGATCCCACTTAGCTTCCCAGTAGAGGTCTGGGGGCCCCTTGGCTTACATCATCTGTCTTGCTTAGACAGGAATGTTCAGGGATGGCTTGTATGCCTGAAATAGAAATCACTACTCTGCGTGCCTTGTTGGAAAGCCATGTATCCCAGAAGCCCATAGCAATGCATTTCTCAAAAGAGCCGAGCTACTGACCATAGGAAAGGCCAAAAGAGGGTGGTGGTTGGTTGGTTTGCTGGGCTGGATGACCTTAAATGGTCATCACAGTCCGCGAAGCTCAGAGACTTTTAAAAATAGGTTGATGGCTTTACAGGATACCATAGTAGACAGTTACATGGGAATCTTTTTAAGTCTGGAGGTTTTTTTGGTCAGTGAAGCATGTATATTTGTTTGCAGAAGCAGTTGGATTTCTAAGTCATGGTGAGGAGTGGAGATGAAGCTAACTAGCAGCTGGAGTAGAGCTAGACACTGAGGAGAAGGCAGCGAACTAGATAGGGGAGGTCTCTGCCCTTTGAGAGCAAAGAGGCAGTGTGAGAGATGGCAGGGACTGAGGGCCGATTAGCCCACCTGGAGAGGGATGAGCTCATGTTCTTTGGTGTATGTTCTTCTTCCATCATCTGTCAAGTGTGGGCTGAGCAGAACACCTGGCATGTGTGCTGGGCTACGTGCTCCAGGCTAGTAGACAAAGATGAACATGGATGATACAGTTTCTGCCTCCACAGGGAGTGTTGTCTCAGAACCCCGAGTATATACAGTCAATGCCTTTAGGTGCTGGGTGCAGCACGTATGGGGTCCACTTTGTTGAGGTTCCCAGGTTCGGCAGCCGCAGCCAGCGGGCTACTGACCGGGTTTCCTTCTCTTGGAAAGCTGTGTCTCCCGGAAGCCCATAGAAATGCAGGCCGAGACTGTCAGCCTCCCTCCACACTCCCTCTCCTGGTAGGCAAAGCCCATGCTGCAGCTTTATGAAAACCCAAACCCAGTGGAGCTTCCTAAAGGAGGGTGGGTGGGGTTGGCTTACAAACGCTCCTCTCCGACCTGACCAGGCTTCTCCCGTTCTACTTACATTTCCTTTTTGAATTCCAGATTGGCGGCAGTAAGCACACCATGAATGACCACCTGCACGTGGGCAGCCACAGCCACGGACAGATCCAAGTTCAGCAGCTGTTTGAGGATAACAGTAACAAACGGACAGTGCTCACGACCCAACCCAATGGGCTCACCACAGTGGGTAAAGCGGGACTGCCAGGGGTGCCCGAGCGGCAGCTGGACAGCGTTCATAGGCGGCAGGGGAGCTCCACCTCCCTGAAGTCCATAGAAGGCCCCGGGAAGGTGAAAGCCAGCCCCATGTCCCCTGAGCAAGCAATGAAGCAATACATGCAAAAACTCACCACCTTTGAACACCACGAGATTTTCAGCTACCCTGAAATTTATTTCTTGGGTCCAAATGCAAAGAAACGCCAAGGCATGACGGGTGGGCCGAACAACGGCGGCTACGATGACGACCAGGGATCCTATGTGCAGGTGCCTCACGATCACGTGGCCTACAGGTACGAGGTCCTGAAGGTCATCGGGAAGGGAAGCTTTGGGCAGGTGGTCAAGGCCTACGACCACAAGGTCCACCAGCATGTGGCCCTGAAGATGGTGCGCAACGAGAAGCGCTTCCACCGGCAGGCGGCCGAGGAGATCCGGATCCTGGAACACCTGCGGAAGCAGGACAAGGACAACGCCATGAACGTCATCCACATGCTGGAGAACTTCACCTTCCGTAACCACATCTGCATGACGTTCGAGCTGCTGAGCATGAACCTGTACGAACTCATCAAGAAGAACAAGTTCCAAGGCTTCAGCCTGCCGCTGGTCCGCAAGTTCGCGCACTCCATCCTGCAGTGCTTGGACGCCCTGCACAAGAGCCGCATCATCCACTGTGACCTCAAGCCTGAGAACATCTTGTTGAAGCAGCAGGGCCGGAGTGGCATTAAAGTGATCGACTTTGGCTCCAGCTGTTACGAGCATCAGCGGGTCTACACGTACATTCAGTCGCGGTTTTACCGGGCCCCGGAAGTGATCCTCGGGGCCAGGTACGGGATGCCCATTGATATGTGGAGCCTGGGCTGCATTTTGGCGGAGCTCCTGACAGGTTACCCACTCCTGCCTGGGGAGGACGAAGGGGACCAGTTGGCCTGTATGATTGAGCTGTTGGGCATGCCCTCCCAGAAACTGCTGGATACATCCAAACGAGCCAAAAATTTTGTGAGCTCCAAGGGTTATCCCCGGTACTGCTCGGTCACCACCCTGTCCGACGGCTCCGTGGTTCTCAACGGTGGCAGGTCCCGGAGAGGGAAACTGAGGGGTCCGCCTGAGAGCAGAGAGTGGGGGAATGCACTGAAGGGGTGCGATGACCCCCTTTTCCTTGACTTCTTGAAACAGTGTTTGGAGTGGGATCCGATGGTACGCATGACTCCCGGCCAGGCTTTACGGCACCCCTGGTTGCGGAGGCGGCTGCCAAAGCCTCCGACCGGGGAGAAGACGGCGGTGAAGCGGCTGACCGAGAGCACTGGTGCTATCACGTCGATTTCCAAGTTACCTCCACCTTCCAGCTCGGCGTCCAAGCTGAGGACTAATTTGGCACATATGACAGACGCCAATGGGAATATTCAGCAGAGGACAGTGTTGCCAAAACTCGTTAGCTGAGCTCAACCCCACAGACGCTGGTCATCTGAAAGATACGACCTTGCTGAGCCTTCCTGGGGTGTGAGAGGAGAGCAAACGCTCAGCCCTGTTTCTATTTGCTCAATGATTTTACTCATTTGTATCCTTTCAGCACTTACTTTAATGTATGAACGTTGTTCATTTTGTTTTTATAAAATACATGGGGACAATGCTTTAAGTTTTGATACTTTCCAAAATTCTTTTTTGTGCGCGTGCATGCGTGTGTGCGCGTGTGTTCCAGAAGTGCGATGAGCCTTACTGTATTTTAGTGTGGCAGAGTAAGGAACGTCGGTGGCAGGCCATTGATTACATCACGACTGCCGCGCCTTTCACAGATGGGTGCCCCAGACCTTCGCTAAGGTCTCCTGGTTCTTCTCCCCGAGGTGGCTGTCCCCAGCCATCCTCCAGGTGCATGCACAGATGGAGCTTGGCCAGCCTTCACGGCCCCGACGTTAGCTGGGTGGTGGTGGTGGGAGGAGAAGGAAGGGTCATGAAAAAAGTCATCCACTAAGAAAACCTGCCCCTTAGAGATTACACCCCCCACTGCCCTCCCCCAGTGAACAGGCGTATGCAAAACACAGTCCCCCAGGTTTAAACTGCCTGATTCGTGGTCTGGTATTCTGAAATAGCTGCCTGGGAGTGGGGATCTACGTGTCCCGCCAGCTTTTCTGACACGATCAGTGAACTGCTTTGCAAAGAACCCTCCTAGGGCAGGATTTCTTTTTGTAGCTTCCCGTAGAAGTCTAGCCCACAGACGGGTTCTCTTCCTTAGTCTTTGCTTTTCCTCCTTCTTTGAGCTCACATCTGTTGCTTGCATTTCGTTTGTCTTCTTGAGAATACATAGACTAGACTCAATACAGAAAAGAGACCTTTCGGTTGGGAGCAGATGACCCATCCTTCCCGTTCTCTAGCCCACCCTTCGACACTGCCTGACAGTTGGGAATTTCCATAGTTCCCAAGGAGGATTAGCAGATTACAGTGAGTTCACACTACCAAGGTGCCACTGGAAGGTTCACAGAGCCTGGGAATATATCAGCTATCTCTAAGAGAACTGCAAATCCTCTTCATTAGCAGACGCCGCTTTGACTGTGGCTGCCCTAAGTCCCACCGTGGCAGTGGCAGCTCAACCTCGAGTCAGTGGTTGGACTGAGCCCGTTAGAAGAGCCCCCGGAGCTGTCTACCTTTCTCTTGTTTTCCTTTTGGAACGCACTGATTCTTTTCACGAGGAGGACACTTGACCTAGAAAAGTTAACTTTTGAGAGTTAGGTAAAAGAATATTTTCTTCTCTGAAAAAAAGAAATCCTATTTTCACAGCGAAGATTGCAGTATTTTATCACTAATGAATGAGCAGTGATGTGTATCGACTTCAAGACACGTGGACATTTTCTTCAGAGTATGTGCAATTTAACATAGAAGGGTTCTGCCTGTTGGGACCTTAGGTTTGGGGTAGTGTAAATTAGGATAAATAACCTTTTATATACACAGATACTACAGTATTGCCTGTAAATTGATTTACAACTACTTAAAGCATGGTCCCCACTGAGGCCAAGAAAAGTTTCCAGTTCCGTTCTTTTATTATCAGTCCCATGTTTTTCCTTATTTTTTCTTTTTAAGTGGTTTTGAACAAAACCTTTTACTTACTGTGGGGCTTTGGCGGTGGACAGTGGGGAAAAACGCTCAGGAAATATTACAGATATTTGCCAAAAAAGTAATAAGATGATCTTATTAATAAGGTAGTGATGTTGACATTTGCTTTCCTATTTAAGGATGTCACTGACAATGTGTACTTCTGTATCTCACGAAGTATAGATTCTTCCCCCGAGGTGATATGAATTCTTTAGCACACTGTACACATAGGTGACTCGTGGAAGTGCAATAACCTGGTGGTTGAATTTTCAAGGATGCTCACCTGACCGGCACCCCAATCAGCGGCTTTAAAAGGATTTATAAATATCTGTATTTATTCAATTTGGGGGCTCAAAGGCATAAGGAGTGTAACACGGTGTGGGGGCTGTCTAAAAACCACCAGCGTCAGACCACTGTAGGAAATATGACCCACATAAAAGGCTAATGTCCCCTCCAACCTTTCTCTTTCATTTCAACACTCTGATTTTATTCCCATCCAGCTTTGACTATGAACTGAAGCCGACTGTTTTTATTCTTGGCCCTAGGTGATTGTAGGTGTGGAAATTTATATACGGACTCATACTCCTTGTCTCTTTTCCCCCCCGGCCACACAAAACCAGATCTTAAGATGCCGACAGAGCATGTGTGGCCGTCTTTCCTCATAAGTGCAACGGGAAACTTTCAGGCCCAACTGGAATGTGCAGCTCTTCGGTTTTCTCATGTCCCGATACCATGGTCTTTCCTTTCTCCTGCAGAGCAGCCACCACGTTTCAGCGTCAAGAGACAGAGCTGTTTTAGTTTAAAAAAAAAAAAAGTTTAAAAACTAGCTTCATTAAACTGTTCAGTAAGATTGTTGCATTATCTGTGAACTGAAAACATACAAATGAAGGGCTCCGATAGGCTATGGGTTAGGGACCGTTGTCTGGGGATGTCTGGGCTGTGTTCAGATTTAGGAAGAGCACCGTGTTGTCTTGATTTTGGTTGCAGTCTCACCTGGCTCCGTTTCTTGTACCACCGGGAGTGTCCGTCACCTCCTGGGAATTGCTACAACAGTGGAACAATCATGATGCGAGACTGTGTAGATAAACAATAGAGGAGAAATGATGCCCTTAGTGTTAACAATGTGCCTTTTTTCTGAATGCCATGTAGGGCATGCATTTGGGGGCCTCTTTAACTCTTTGATTACTAGGCAGTAAGGATGGAATCCACCTCTGCAAAGATACATCTGTCTTAAATACCTAGTTACTCCCAGGCCTTAATAGAGACCATAAGGCGCGCATCCTCATCCGCCACTGAGAGGTAACCCTTGGTTAGTTACACCCGGAAATCCTATGTTTAAGGAGTTAAAAAGGTGGTCTTTGTTGTATCTTTACATCAGACTGGTTTTAAGTACTATTTTGTTAGGCTAACACTAGACAGAAATCAACTGTATTTGTAAAAATTTACCTCAAACCATTTGATTTTATAGCGTGATTAATCCCAGGGCATTTGGTCTGAACCAAAGTGCATTTCTTTTCTATGTGCCTGGCTCTAGTATGGACGGCCAGGGATTTTTACAATTTGGGTGCAAGGCACTTATGCCACTTTCAAACCCGCTGGGTGGTTGGGAGTCATGCTCGCCGGCTCCCTCAGTGTGAGGGAGCCCTGTAGGCGTCAACAGCATTGGGCCATATTGGAATCTTCAACGCTGGATTCTTTCAAAGAACATTTTTGTAATCTTTTTCATCAAGACTTTTCTGGTAAGCAGAAGACAAAACACACATGATAGAGTTGGTGAAGGTTTTAATATTGCCCAGCATAATGCTGTGGTCACATGAAAAAGAACAAAGTATTTGTGAACTCTTTTTCTTCGGGGCTTGTACATCTCTCTGCTATGAACATATATATATATATATATGTATATATATATATATAATTCATTGTAATTATACTCAGCTCAACTGCTACAGTGATGTCTACGTAGTGGCTTGGGTTCTTATCGAGCAACGACTTAGACACGTGACTGTAATATGCTGCAACTGTGTACTGAAAATATGTGAAAATGGTTGAATGTGGACTGTGTATATATGTATGTACAAATTTCTGTGAGATGCTGCTGTCACCACTTAACATTAAATATGTTCTAGTGGATTTTAACCCTAGTGGCCAGTTCTATGATACTGTATGTATTGTACAGCTGATGACAGGAGTAAGACTGTTTGGTGAATATTTGTTAAATTTTATTGTTGTGGCCAGAGATAATTTCAGAATAAAATTTTAATGTCCTACCTTACTTTTCTCCCCTTTTCTAACGATTAATTTCACTCCGGAGCTCTTCCCGGTTTTGGTGGTCTGTTGAGCTTGGAGAGTGGTGCGGATGCCAGAGTGGTAGCTCTTGACCGGTATCCTGAGGAGAGGTTGAAACAATTCATTCTGCTAGTTCGATCATCAACAATGGTTGAGGTTTATTGGTTCAGTACAAATACACAAGATCCCAGGTAAGAAAGACTAAAGTTTTAGCGGGCAGTTTTATGTATCTCAGGATAACCTCTTCCTTTAATATGCTAGTGTTAAGATGCCTCTGTTGTTTGTTTGTTTAACTTCCAAGGTGACAGCTCATTGAGCTTTCTATTTTTTTTCTCCGTACAAACCCACTACTACCGTGTTGATTTCCACTCAAAGTGACCCGACAGTGGGTTTCCACGAGGGTTCCTCTTCTTCACAGGACCACGCAGCCTTGTTTCCTTCCTTTTGAGGGGCTGGTGGATTTGAACAGTGGACTTATGGTTCTCAGCCCAACTTCTGCGCTCATTGTTTCTACCACGTGCTTTTAGATGCTTATGCATTTGGGGTACTTGACGGGCTCTGGTTCCCATTTTCAGGGTTTTAGTGTTTCCTCTTAAATCAAGTTGGGTCTGCAAATATATTCTGAACTGCATCTAGCTCACGATTTTCAAGCGAGAGTTCACGTGCAGATGACACAAAGCAGATGTTACCGGAATTTGTCAGGCATTCCAGGGATACGATGCAAACAACTCATCTTCCTCTGGCAGCAGCCACCTCGCATTTTTATATACAGCCCACCTGCCACCCACAGCCAAGGAATGACTGATCAGTGTGGCTCCCTGGGGCAGAAATGTGATTGGCAAGGGTTTGGTCAAAGAGTTTCTAAGGCCAATCTGTCTTAGAGTCTATCTGTGCCACCAAACACCTCTACTGCATGATCACGTTGCCTTTCAAAACTTTTTAACTGTGGCAAACCAACCAGAAAACCCCATATATTTAGGAAATGTGCCTTTAAGAGACGTACACCATGCACAAAACTGAAAGCAGGGAATAAAGCAGCGGTTTAAAATGAACTACCCCAGTTTGATTTCGTCCAAGCAGGTCATACTTCCCGTTCATTTACTTCCTTTCTGTCAACTCTTTTTACTGGCTCTTTATTAAATCTGTTAATGCCATCATCTGTTAAGATCTCAAATAATCTTTTCCCTTCTGGAATGATCAGCTATGCAAATACATATTCTTTGGACTTCAAAGTTATAGTCAAGCTAGCACTGAGGAATGTCCCTAGCTGATCCTGGTACTGGTTTCTTGTTCTGTTTTTTTTTTTTTTTT